GGGTCTGGGGGGTCAGTTGTACGCATACCTTACCCTTGTAATTATACAAGGAGGCTGTTTCCGTAGCGACCCAAGACAAATTCGTGTTTTATAACATGATGAAATTGGATTTGGTTGAAGACCCATTCTTTCCAAGAAAGGAATTCAACTTCAAGAGTTTCAAGGACTTGTACAATGGCACCTTTGTCCAAACCGAACTGTTTGGTACGTATTTAATCTTATGTAATAAATTAATAATATATTATTTTTTTCAGCAGCATATAAAGTCTGTTTTCTAATGTTTTTTCAGATATAATTGGGCGCATTGTCATGTACCAAAATGATCTAAGTACTGTTTTGAGAGGGGTTGAGAAAAGAAAGATAGAAGTTCTCCTAGAAGACTTGAGGTTTTATATAGATTTATCTTTTTTCTTTTTAAAAATAAGTTGGGTCACAACAATTTTATTCATATTTTATTTCTTAATTATATTGTTTAGTGGTGAACAACTTACTTGTACATTGTGGGAGGGTTACGTGGATCAACTTATGGCCGCTTACAACCACTATAATTCTTCCGAACCCCGTGTCGGGCCAAGAAGTTGAACAATGGTACATTTTAGAATTTATTATTTAATCATTGTTCTTATTTCATCCATTTAAATTATAATTTTTTTATTGTAGGTACTATTACAGTAGCCAACGTTTACGACACCACAAAAATGATCATCGGAAGTGAGATTCCGGAAATTATAGACTTCAAGAAAAGGTAGTTATCAATAGTATTATTTTACAAAAGTAAATACTAATTGTTCATAATTTTATTTCTATGCTTTAATTTTTATCCCTTAAAGGCACATGTTTACCCTATGCCTAAGGCAATCGGGGAGCAAAATTATGAAATCTTATCTTTTGAATGTGTGCGATGATTTGCTACTCGGAAATGCAGGTTTCCAAACTATAGAAGACTTTTTCTCTTCACAAGAGGTATTATAAATTTTAGTTAATAAGTTTATCCTTATTTATGTGGTTAATAATTTTTTTTTTTTATTTTACTTTTCAGCCCACAATATGCATTACAAATTTTTTTAATATTACATATTTATCCTTATTTGTGTGGTTATTTAATATAGATATTATATTATGTGCCTTGACAGCCCATTATATCTTGGATATGCGGCGTAATTTTGAATGTTCACTTCGATTGGTGGTACAATTCTTGCCCCACATGTGTACGGAAGACTCTTAAAAAGGGAGACAAATTTATTTGCAAGTATTGCAAGGAGGAGATTCCAATTACTAAGGTTTCAGATTTATAACATTAGTTATTTTTCACTATTTTTACAGAAAATCTAGACAGATTTTTTTTATATAATTTTGTAATTTTTATTCTTAAAATTCAGGTATAAATTGATTTTAACTGTTGGAGACAACACGGGTATTGTTACTGTTTGTTGATGGGACCGTGTTGCAAAGGAAATGGTCGGAAAATCATGTGATGAACTTCGTATGGAGATGATAGAAGTTCGAAAATGTGGTCAATATAATAATTTTTTTAATATTCAGTTCTGTGTTAATATTTTGTATTAAAACAGACAGGAGATGGCTCTTGTACCTTACTGATTATCAGGTTAGATGAATCAATTTCTTATAAAAATAATTCCCTTCACACATTAATTATGGTTATGTTACAGTTTGGTTAAAAACCTCAATCACGGGCCATTCGGAGCCTCTCAGAGCGGGAATGGAGTGTCAAGATTCAACACGTTCACATAGAAGCAAACTTTGCGTCGTACCATATGGCAAGCTTAGCTGTACGCGTTTCGGTCGGGTTTACATCGGATCTCGGATCCCCCTATTGGATTGGGAGAATGGCTTCGACATGATCTTATTGAGGTATCTTATCCCCATCGGGTTCTTGCATAATCGTTACTAGGGTCTCTGGCCTCCTTCTTTGTACCAAAAAACTCAAACACGTCTTACTAATGTAGATATGTATTAATAATCGACAAAAAATATTATTAACTTAGATTTTTAATATTAGGAAGCAGGACTATAGCCCCTAGCAGCTCCTAATATATTATACACATCCAAGATGTTAGTACTTAGTTACCCCCACCACCATGTGATGTGCCTGGTAAGTGGTACCATAGACGAAACACACACACACACACACTTTGACTCAAAACAAAACAAAGGATCGAAATCACATCTGATGTGCCCTTCATCTGAATGAAACCACTAATCCTTTGTACGTAGTACTAATAATTTCTGACAGGTCAACCCTATTTGTACATACCAAACCGAATATTGTATACAGACTTGTGGGGTTAGGGGCGTTGACCTTCTCATACTCTATATCATTGTTTTTCATCTCGAATTGGCCCCATGGTTGACTCGGAATCGGAGCCGATCCGGAAGGGTGATTTAGACCGGCTGATGAAGGACCACTACAAAGAAATTGTTATATTCCAACGGAACATTCTGTGGTAATATATTTCAATAGAAATTCCAACGGATATTCTAATGGTATAGCTTCCGTTGGAATGGTTCCGACGAAAATTCCAACTGAAATATTCCGTTAGAATGTGTTTTTCATTGAAATTTTAGATGAAATTTAGTGATTCCAACGGCTATATTTTCAACGGCTTTTTACCGTACGAATTTCTGTTGGAATATGCAATTTCCATTGAAATCTTTATTTCCACCCCCGTTGGAAAATCCACCGTTGGAATCGCCAAAATCCAACGGAAATTCCAATGGAAAACTCATTCCAACGGAATATTTCTGTTGGAATTTCCGCTGGAATCCATTGAAAAATTCCAACGGAAATAATAATATTGAAATATCCGTTGGAATCATTCTATTATAAGAATTTTCCGTTGGAATTTCATCATTTTATTGTAGTAGACCCGGGCCCAGCCAACCTGTCATTAACACGGTCGGCTTGGGCATCGACTCAAGCGGGTCAACCCCACTTGATAAATAATAATAATCTTTTTATTTTAAAAACAAAAATTATGTACATATATTTATTTGATAAATATTTATTATGTGATACAATGCTAATAACACATTATAGTACAAAATTTATATACAAAATAATTATTTGTTTTTTACTTTTATGTATATGAATATACAATAAAATATAAAATATATAATTTTAAAATTTTAATATTATTCATTTCAAACAATTGACCCTATGAATAAAAGATAAAAACACCTCCTTTTCCAAATTAGAGAACCATTTTCACATTCATTGTTGCTAGACTAAATGGATTGTTTCATTAGAACTAAAGGATTTCAATTTTAAACTCATAATAATAGACAATGCTTTATTTCGATACCAAGACTATATTTAGTTAGAAAAAATAAAAATAAAGGGAAAAAAATGCTAATTTATCAAAATGCCACATCAACATACCAGTGATATGTTTTATTGCCACCGACTGTGCATTGAGTCCAATTTTTTTTTTTTTTTTTTTGGTACAATGAGTCCAATTTTTTATGTATGTGGTAGAATATCTACAATACATTGAGTCTAGTTTTGTTTATGTGACATGTAAATAAATACAAATTTTGGATGACATCGATAAAACTATATAAAATTACAAAATTAACTCTAATGCAAAGAGATTATGTCTCTACTTGAGTTTAAAATAGACTTAAGGATAGACCATGTCGGTTTTTCTGGCTGCCAAATCAGCAGGACCTAGCCTATTTGCACTTGCATTGGAAAATATATTTTTTAAGACCGATTCTATTATTTTGGTGACATATAAAATTTTTGATTGAACCCAAAGCATATGGATGCTCGTATATAAATAGACTTAAGTCCTGAATGATATGGACAAACCCAAGTAAGAAAATTCAAAAGCTATACAGTGCAAAAAAATATAAAAATAAAAAAAATACTAGGTCTAGAATACCTGCAAACTAATAAAAATGCTTTAATATATTTTCTGTATTAAATTAGAAGTAAATGTTGACTGTTCAAATTTGTACTTGGTCTAAAATAGACTAAGTGTGTGGATTTAATCTCTTTTTTTTTTTTTTTTGTCACATATATATGTTAGACTATATCCAGTTTTAACTGCATTCGAAAGTATTTGTATATACTAAGTCTATTTCTATGTAGGATTTGATATCTATACTTATATAAAAAGTCATCCTATTTATCAGAAATAATAGGTAGAAAAGTAAAAGGTAATTAATCCATTCTATTTCTGTTTAAAGTATTTTATTTAATTGTTTTATCTCATAACACCTTTTCAATACAATTTACCATAATTTTCTATTGTGATTAAAAATCAGATTTTACGTTTAAAATCTTGTGAAATTATTATTATTATTATTATTATTATTATTATTATTATTATTATTATTATTATTATTATTATTATTATTATTATTATTATTATCACGCCATTGTTAAATAAAGTTGAACATTGAAAATTTTGAATGTAAATATATCTAAATTAGACCACTCGTTGCATATATAGTTGGTGCATTTAAATTAATTTTATTACAAAAATATATTATTTTCCGTATAGTTTTATAAAAATTAAAACTTTATATTTAAAAGACAATAAAAAAATTGCAATGGATTCACACATGTGAAATTGTACATATATGGGAATAATGAAATTGGTATAA